GGTGTAAAAATAAATGATATATCATAAATTAAATAAATAACTATAAAAGTATAATCGTAAATATTAAAAATATTTTTTCATAAGTATATATAATAATATAATTAAGTAAAAAATTATTCAATATTKGACTCATTTTGAAGGTATTAACGAGACAATTATAATGGTATAACTTGTTAAAATAAAAATGTATTTTTAGTCATGTTTTAATTTATATACGATTATGTATGTTAATTTGATAATGGTTTAAAATGAAACATTTAAAAGTAAAAGAACGTAAAGTAAATTAATTAACTAATTATAAGAGTATAAAGTGTAAATTTAAAATTATAATTTTAAAAAAATATCGGAGAGAGTGAGTGAATGTGAGGAGGTGAATGTATGTGATGAGGTGAATGTATGTGAGGAGAGGAGGGGGTGAAAAACAATAAACACAATAAACCATCACAAAACATGAAATCACGTCAAAGTGATGATGTTTGTGTGTATCTTCGAAGTGGCGGTAACATTTATATATATAAAGATGCATTACGTAAAAAAAAAACGATATAAACGGTACAAAAATTGAAACTTCGTATTTTATACATATATATGCGCCGTACGCATATTTACGTATATTTATGTACGTTTTACGTACGTATTTTTACCGTATATATGTGTACGGGTTTTAACCCATACGCATATTTACGTATCTTCATGTACGTTTTACGTACGTATTTTATACATATATATGTGTACTGGTTAAAACTCTTACGCATATTTACGTATCTTCACGTATGTATGTACATATATATGTGTACGTATGTATATATGTATATATATATACCTACTTACATTTACGTAAAAAAAGCGATATAAATTGCGGTAACGTATATATATATATATATATATATATATATATATAGATGCATAACGTAAAAAAGCGATATAAATTGCGGTAACGTGTATATATATATATATATATAGATATAGATGTATAACATAAAAAAAACGATATAAATTGCGTTAACATATATATATATATATATAGATGCATTACGTAAACAAAACGATATAAACGGTACAAAAATTGAAAATTCGTATTTTAACATATATATACGTACGGGTTTTAACACGTACGCCTATTTATGTATATTCATGTACGTTTTACGTACATATTTTTAACGTATATATGCGTACGGGCTTTAACCGCCACTTCGAAGATACACACAAACATCATCACTTTGACGTGATTTCATGTTTTGTGATGGTTGATTGTGTTTAATGGGTTAAAAGTTGTGAGAGTATAATATATGAAAAGAGAAATGAAAGAGAAAATGTGAAAAATTATGAAATGAGGCGGTTGATATTTATAGTGAAATTGGTATTAAAAAAAGAAAAGAAAAGAAAAGAAAAAAAAGTCTGGATCGCCCCCTGGCTCGCCCCAAGTGGAAAAAAAGAAAATTTAAAAAAAAAAATTCTAAGAAAAATGCTGGATCACCCCCACTAGTACGGATCGCCCCTGGGGGAGATCCTTGTGTTTAGTTTTGTAAAACCCTTAAAAACTGATTATTTTATGTAAGAAGGTTATATAAAATGGTTATTTTCATCATTTTGCTTAAAAAAAAAAATTAGTCAAAGGACTATTTTTGCAATTCTCTCAAAGATTAGGAGAAGCTAGGGTTTCCTTACAACTATAAAAACAATTGCGCCTTTTACTAGAACTTCAGTTTTCCAGCCTATCATTTCCTGTTCGCAATGTCTGTTCTTCCCCATCATCTCGTTGCAACTTCACTCTCATCGTCGACCTCCAACTTCTTCGCTCAAAATAGCTTCGATGTTGTAAGGTATCCATCTAATTCCAGACGTTTATTTGAATTTGATGTTCAGTTTTGAAAACTATTCGATTAGTGGCTGGATTATTTCGTTTTCCCACTAATTATACGAAAGAACAAACAATGATCGATTCGACCTTTAATTACATGCTCTTCTCCTTGCAGAACTCAGGTGGTAAGTGCACCTTTTAGAAAGATGGGAGTTTGTAAATGCGTAGCTACTTCCCCCACTGAACAGACTGGTAATTACGCATTATGATAGTATTTGTCCTTTTCTACTATTATGCTTCTTCGCTGTGTGCGTGGATGGGCGCGGATGGAGCATGAAAAACTAATAATTTATTCAATAACTGGATTGAACTTCCATAAAACGAACAGCAGCAGTTCATACAACGGGACTGTTGTATCCAATTTAGCTTTTGTTTACACATGATGATGGGGGCCGGGCTACTCGGCTAGGCCGGGGGAGCTGAACACACCATTCAAACTAGTTTGTAAACAGTAGATGGATGGGGATTGCGAAGTGCACTTGTGATGTTTGGTGTCCGCAAAGTTGATAGGACAATGTAATTGCCTTGGGTGATGTAAGTTTGCAAGAAATACAGTAGAGATAGAAAATGACTAGAGAAAGAGAGAGAGAGCTGATGAAAATGTGTATATTTCTCAGTTTACAAGTACAATACTGACATAGTATGTATACATTTCATAATGTGGGTGGAAGCTACTCCTGTGAGGTATTGGAGCCGTATCATGATTACCTCTAAAAAGAGCCCTCACGGAGAGAGGGTGGTCTCTACTCTCTTGATATATAGAGGTGGGTTGGTCCATAATTAGCCTATGTGAGACTCCAACATGTCTCCTCAAAAGAAGGCTAGGCTAGATTGAGTGTCGAGTCCCTAGAGATGCTAGACGCCGGCTCTGATACCATATGAGATATGTGGCACCCCATCAAATTACTCTCCAAATAAGTTGAAGGGATTTCCAACATATATTAAGGAGAAACGGTTCAAATCTAGCCATGTGGGACTCCAACAACACCTACTTGCATGTGGTACATGAATTATGACTAATACAGTTGGTAATATAACCATAATCTATCAATTAAGAACCAATATATAATGGATGATTATCTCATTGATTTCAGTTTACTCATTAAATACATGATTGTAATGGTTGGAATTCTGCTTCAAATGATAAAAATCTACAGTCAACTGGTGAAAAGGGTCATTATCCCTCCTTGCCAAAGTAATGCTTATTCATTTGGCGCCTATGCATTATAAGGAAAATATATTTGACAGATTTTAAGACGTATGTAATATTGTTTGGAACTTTTTCCCATATTTTGGAGGAAACTCGTAAACTTATACTTGTTGCTATTTGGTTGGCCAAACCTTTAATTTTGTGTGTTGTTATTCTGCAGCTTACAAGACGCAAGTCTCCCGCAATGGGAATATTGCTAAACTTCAAGCCGGTTACCTCTTTCCAGAGGTCTGTACTATAACTGCCACATCTTACTTATAGTTTCAAATGTGAACATTAATCTCTGTTCTTATTTTGCACTGGAGATGATATTCATAGATTTTTCATGTGCTGAATTACAGATTGGTAGAAGGAAGGCTGCACATATGTTGAAACACCCTGATGCACAAGTGATAAGCCTTGGAATTGGTGATACTACTGAGCCCATTCCAGAAGTTATTACTTCTGCCATGGCTAAGGTATGATCGCACTTTGCCGAATTTTTCGTCCCTGTATGTAACGTGGGTTTTATTTTTTTATTGATGGTGTTTAGAGTGACCGCATTTGGAACTTTAACCTTTTGTCCTATTAAAGTCCCTCTTTTCTCAACGAGATACCTTTTTTCCAATGTATAGCCCCCTCTTTCTGGGACATAAAAGATTGGTTTCGTAATCAAGTATAACAACACAAAGTCATGAATATTTTCAGTTTACCAACAATTGGTTGGTTAACAAGTAACATTATTTATCTTATGAGTTGCATGTTGTGATAAAACTCATGAGAATAGAGTGCGCCTAAGGTGTTGGAGATTTTCAAGTTGCTTTGTGATTTTGAATGGTAGTTAATTACAACTCATCCATGAAAATTAGCTTGGTTTCATTAGAACTACTGCTACATAATCTTTGCCATTGCCTCTCTCATTTATTTACTCGGTTTTATGGTTTCATTTTTCTGCTTGGCAGAGAGCACTCGCCTTATCAACTGTTGAGGGTTACAGTGGATATGGAGCAGAACAAGGTGAAAAAGTACGTATAATTGATAGCTTCTGTTGATGTAGTTATGATTTTAAAGCAATCAGGTATACTTATCTTGAACTGGTGTAATATATCTGACAACTTCGGAAATATGCAGTTTACTATCTCAGTATCAAAATATATTAATCATATGCTTGTATTGGGAGGTTGAATTGGTGTAAACCCCCCGTCATATACCAGTTTCAAATTTCCCTTATGATGATTCTAACTTTATGTGACATTTATATGTTCAGCAACTGAGAGCGCGACTTGCTTCAACGTTTTATGGGAACCTTGGTATAGAGGAAGATGACATATTTGTATCTGATGGTGCAAAATCAGACATTTCTCGCCTTCAGGTTTGTGTTTGTTGTACAACATTGTTTAATTCTTGTGCACTTCATCTGCATTTTCAATATTATTTCTCGTTAGGTTAAATATCATCTAACAGCATCATTTACAGTTGACTTCTACTTTTATCTTTCTGGCAGGTCTTGTTTGGGTCCAACGTTACTATGGCAGTGCAAGACCCTTCATATCCGGTAACCAGTTCTTTATTCTGCGTTCATTAAGATTAAGAGCAAATTTGACAGTTAAAACTCACTTGGTTCTGCTACTGTCTTCTGTATAATAACAGAACCATGAGTTACTAAAAGGGAAAAACTTTGGTTAGCGAAAAGCTAGTTGCTGCAAAACCATTTACGTTTGCAACTTATTTTTGATCTTCATTTCCCTTTCAGGCTTATGTAGATTCAAGTGTTATAATGGGTCAGACAGGGCAGTTCCAAAAGGATGTTGAGAAATTTGGAAAAATTGAATACATGAAATGTACCCCAGAGAATGATTTCTTTCCTGATTTATCTAAAGTTTCTCGAACAGACATCATATTTTTCTGTTCACCCAACAATCCAACTGGTTCCGCTGCATCAAGGGAGCAACTGATTCAATTAGTAAAGTTTGCAAAAGACAATGGGTCCATCATTATATATGATTCAGCATATGCCATGTATGTGTCAGGAGACACCCCTAAATCCATCTTTGAAATCCCTGGAGCCAAGGAGGTACAATCAACACTAGTGACATATAGCACCTTACGAGATGGATGCTCATATGAACTATGTTATCATCATTTTTTCACACTAAAAGAGAGCCTAAATTGGACTTTGTTCAACCAAGATTCAAAGTAACTTGTTTCCCTTTTTTGGAGTGTTGCAGGTTGCAATTGAAACAGCTTCTTTCTCCAAGTATGCTGGATTTACCGGAGTTCGTCTAGGGTGGACTGTAGTCCCAAAAGAGCTTAAGTATTCAGATGGATTTCCTGTGGCAAAGGACTTCAACCGCATTGTTTGTACTGGCTTTAATGGCGCATCAAACATTGCTCAAGCTGGTGGTCTTGCTTGCCTTTCTCCTGAAGGTCTTGAGGTTAGTTATGATGGTAGCAACTAACACTACATATGTTCCTTGGGGTGCTTTTGGTACACCGGACATGACCCATAATAAATGGATCAAAAATAGGGACTGGTAAGTTACTAACTGCCCATGTCAAATTAAAACCCTAAAAATCTTCCACAATTCTTTCACCAGCCTACCTCTCTCTCACCCATCTAGTCCAGTCCGTTCGTGAACCAAATGCATCCCTGATTGAGGGCAAATACTGGTTTCAGTAGTGGTTTTATATAAGGACCAACCTTGTGGCACTTTGTAGGGGATGAGCTAAGCCGTGGCTTGCAAAAAGGTCGGCAGTCCACAGCTTATGGTGATACCAGTCCAACTTGACTTTCCACGCTGACCTTGAGCATAGCATGGCTCACGCTTGGCAACTCAACAAACCTAAATGAAGTGAGCTTAAACGAGCCAAGCTTATATTCTTAGTTTTTCCCTTAAACTCACTAATCTTAGCTTCTAATGGACTTTTAATAAGACATTTTTCAAAGAGAGTTTATTTTAACTTCTATTTTAAGGTTATAACTTAATTTGTTAGAAGCTCACACAGATTGAGCCTTCATGACTAATGCCAAGGCCTCAAGCTAAGAGAGCCACAAGGGCTATGCGATTCATGTGGGAAGACTTTTATGCAACATTTCATTTTGCAAAGGGTTGTTTCCATGACTGGAACCTGTAACCTCGGTGTCACAAATGGCTAACCTAAACCATTGCTCCAGGGTTTGCCCATGGTGTTGTATATGATAAATGTGTTTCTAATTGTTGCAGGCTATGCATGAAGTGGTTGGGTTCTACAAAGAAAATACACAGATTATAGTGGATACATTTACTTCGCTTGGTTTTAAAGTATATGGAGGAAAACATGCCCCATATGTGTGGGTTCACTTTCCGGGCCAAAGCTCATGGGATGTGTTCAGTGAGATTCTCGAGAAGACCCATGTCGTGACCACGCCTGGTAGTGGGTTCGGACCTGCTGGTGAAGGGTTCGTTAGGGTCAGTGCATTTGGCCACCGGGACAACGTGTTGGAAGCCTGCCGGAGATTCAAGGAGCTGTACAAGTAAGAAAAATGAACCTTCAGAAAATCATCCAGGTTTTGTAGTTTTAAACTATTCAATAAACTGATGGCTGAGCTTTGGTGTTGCCCATCTAGACTTTCTATTGGTTTAGTGTAACTTTAGATTTGTGAAAAATGCTTGATTTATGCAGAGCTCAAGATTGTTATGATTCTACATTAATCTAAATTGTTTTTAAGTTGTCCTCCTAATGTGAAAGTTGACAAATAAAAGCCAGGCAGTGGGGGCTGTACCCCATTGGTCATCAGTTCAAGTCTCTTCAGACTAGAGCTGTTCATGGGCGGGTTGACCCGTTAGACCGACCCATCCGGCCCGCTAGAAATACGGGCTGGACAACAATTATCGAGAAAATGGACGCACCTAAGTTTGTTCGTTAAAATTAATGGGCGGACATGGAGGATGTAAAAATAAATATGGACGGGCTTTATGCTTTATAATTAATATTTTTTTACCATTAGTTAAAATTATACTGGTATGTTTTAAAATTAAATTATTAAAGTTATAAGATGGGAGTTGGGACTCTTCGGTTTTTCTTGAGAACCCAAAAGGATATTCATTATCTTTGTTAACATTCTTATGTCAAAAGTCCTAATCGATCAACAATGAATATAGTCACTAGTTGTTTAAAGTTTTAATTGCAACGGTGTTTTTCCTTTACTTTTTGGTTTCACATTTGTTAATTAAGAGTTACGTTATTTAGGCTCGTTAACCTATGGGCCAGCCCGGCTTGTTTACAGGACGGACAATGACAAGTTGTCAAGCCTGAAAAAATGGCTTGGGTATATTAGGTATGTTGGATAAAAGAACAAGTTAGGTCAGGTTAGACTCGGGCCCTCAAATGATCATCTCTACTTCAGAGGCCATGAGTATTTTCCATATTGTTATATTGTTCTTTTTCAGGTCACAAGATATAAGACAATAACGAACCTCGTTAGCATGTAGCTAATTCTCAGTATTTTTGTTAGTGTTCGGACGACACTTGTAGAATAAGGCAATTCCTTCTTAATTTATTATCTAACGGTACAAACGACAAATACATACATATTTATACGATGTAGAAAGATAATCCTAAGAGGTAAAATACTTAAAATGTTGAAACACTTCAATCTAAATACAAAATTGTAAAAACTCACAAAATTTGTAGAGGAATACTTCAATCTAAATACACCACCTCATCCTTCATGGGGTTTGCTTATATACACACATACATACGATATATAGATACAGGACAAATACCATTAAAATATAACGAAGTTTGACTTAATTCCTATTTAGTGTAACGAAATATTTTTTTCTTTTTTAATGCAACAAACTTACAAGCATCAAGAAGACAAGAACAGTACAAACCAAATCCATCGTTGTAGTAATGGCTCCGACGGGGGGTCCTATAGCAATGGCTGAATCATTCTCCATTTAGATTTGTTCTTCTACATCGTTCATATGTTCTAGTGCTCTTATGTTGAAGAGAAACTTTAGATATGCATCTGTTCGTGACACATTGTTCATCTAATCTAGTGTTCTTATGTTGAAGAGAATTGAACTCCAGATATGCATATATTATTTTGTATCGTTCATCTGTTTGAATGTTTGATTTTGATTTAATTCATGAACATGTGAGATCTTGAGCATTTTAATGAAGTAGAAGACAGAAGATATAGATGGTTTTTTGCAGGTAAACGACTATATCTGTAACTCACATATGATGGTGACTACGGTGCTTTTAATCCTTAAGTCCCTACTGGATCTTGATTTCAATCTTCGTTTTTGGGAAACATTTTTTATTTCAATTTTGATTTCAAATCAAATTGTGATGCAAAATTTGGGGATTTTTCCAAGTGATCATCCATGGGGGTCCAACGTGAAAAAGGTAATATCGACGACAAAGAGGTTTTTTGATCATACGACAGAGGAGAAGAAGAAGGTGAGAAGAGACGGCGGTGGAGATTGCGAGGCTAAATCAGGAGGTTAAATATTTGTCTATAGTTTTGGTGTCTTTTATTTTTCAAAATTTTGTTTTATTTCATAAGGTGAAATAACATATAGACGAAAATTGTGTTTGATTTCATGAGATGAAATAACATATAAACGGAAATTGTTTGATTTCATAGGGTGAAATAGATTATATTGTGTTTGATTTCATGTGGTGAAATAACATATATATGAACATTATGTTTGGATTTCATGAGGTGAAATAACATATTTATGAAAATTCCGTCATTTCATGAGATGGAATATCATGGTGAGTATGTGCTCCATTTGGTATTTTTGTTACCAAAATGACGATCATGTCATTTTTCTAATTAAAAACAACTTTAAATTAAAACCATATGATCAAAACCCGATTAGGGCTTAGATCAGTTCTCATGACTCTTAATTTTTTTGTGGTTTTCATTTGATTATCGTCTTTTAATTTCTCTTAATAAATCTTATAGTCGAATCGAGATTGCGAGAAATCTATGTTACTATTTATTATTTAATGTTACTTTTTTATAAAAATCAATATTATATAATTGTGTATTTTTTAATTGTAATATAAAATTATATTTATGTTCTAGTTATTTTTCAAATATGCTAATAAAATATATAATTAACAAATTAAAATAAATATAAAAAATATAATTAATAAAT